GTTCAAGGCTAGTGCTCTACCACTTGAGCCACAGCGCCACTTCCGGCTTTTTTCTTTTTGCTTATGTGGTGCTGAGGAATCAAACCCAGGGCCTCAGGAATGCAAGGCAAGCACTCTACCACTGAGCCACCTTCTCAGTCCACTATTCTAATTTTCTTATTACAACTTCCCCACTTAATAAGACTGGGTTGTCTATATGTAGTAACAGTCTTTACTGAACCCTTCTATCATTTCCACAGACATAACAACTCTTTTCCTACCCATATTAAAAATGTATCATTCAAATTATGATATAACTTTCACAAATAGCTGTGAAATCACAGTCTGTCCCTTGGCAAGAAGACAGTTTAGTGGATGAAAAAATGTTTTGAATCTTGTAAAGAATAGTTTGAGATTTATAAATTTCAGTTGAATTCTTAGGATTTAAATCTGAAGTATTCTCATAGGCTCTTGTATTAGAGATTTGGTTGCCAGCTGATGAGTTTTGGGAAGTGATTGAATCCTGGTGGCTTGATCTAATCATCCTTACATGGATCCATAATAGGATGCCACTTTGGGGAGATGGTGAAAAGTAAGAGATGGCTCCCAGTTGAAGAAAGTAGATCCATGAGTCCATATTCTTGGACTCTATCTTGCTATGGTCCCTTTTCTTTACTTCCTTGCCACCATGGTGCATTCTGTTCTGATCCATCATTCCCTCTCTGCCACGATGGTCTGAAACCTCTGAGGTTTTCCCTCTTAGGTTGTATATGTCATGTGTTCTGACCCAGTCTGACTAACACAGTCAGTATATTTTATAATAAGAGAAGAGAATGCTCATGAAAGAGCATCTAATTCACCAGAGTTGCAGCCCAAAGAGTACTGGAAGAGGAAATGGGACATATGCTATCTTATAGGTCATGTTAAGAATTAGTAACACATAAAAGGGAAAGGGAAATGTTCAGATTTTAGTTTAATATGGAGAATAAGCTAAAGGGAGGCAAAGAATGAAGGTTGGAGGGTCAAATTAGAAATGACTGTAACCCAATTGAAAACCAATAGTGGCCTACTCTAGTGTGGCACAAAGAAAAGTAAATGGACTAATGCTCTGCATAAGTCCAACTGGGAAAAATGAAATGATCTGACTTTGACATGGAACAGAGTATATGACTTCTCAACGCTAACTTGGATGGTTTTCATCACTCAAACTCTATCCATGTCACCTCTCCTTGTCTAATGTTTGGCTAGGAATGTCTTCTTCAGGTATTTGTTCACATCTGGACTCATTGTTCATATCTCTCTTATTAAGGACTCCTAGGTTTTGGTGTTGACTAATATACACTAAGACTGGGTTTCACAGTGAATGCTTGCACTAAGACTCAAAAGGACATCCTCTTTCATTTTTCACATGAGTATATTTTACACTGATCTTTTTGCCCAGTTTTGATCCTGATTCTCCAGCTTTGCAGATCTGCTTCTACTTGGTCTCCACTACTGCATTATCTATAGATAATTTGGCTACTAGAAGTAAAGAACAAAGAATTATAGTACAGGCTCTGGATAGTTTTGCCTTGGTCTGTCTCTGAGTTCAGACATCAGGCTGGGTAGACTGAGTCCTCCCAATCTTTACTTAAGCTTATAGCTTTTCCCCATTTTTGCTCCAAGTTTTTCCTTCTATCTCTAGGCTTCCATTTGCACCAAACACTTCATGCGGCTGGTTTTTCTCCCCATACCTTCTCTCCCTTCCTTTTCCTTAGATATGTTGGTCAAGGACCAAGTTTTATAGTGTCCTCACATCACAAAGATAACAATTTCATTCACCCAAAATGAGCCCAAGATGATAGAAACTATGTATTTAACTCTTATCCCAGGAAGGCAGATTGTTTCAGGATTAGGGATCCGTACTTCTCTCTTTAGATTCTTAATAAAATGAGAACAAGAACACGCGTGAAAAGGAAAGTCCAACTATGTGTTTTGTATATAACCTGCTGTTAGCCATAGCTTGTATCCTGATTGAGACTTAATACAACCTATGCATAGCCTTCCCCAAATCATTCTCTCAAGGAGTTGTATGGATTGTGGTTGGCTTCATATTCTTTAGAGTACAAGAGATGGGCCTTTTTGCTTCTTCACATGAGGAGGACCATGTAAATATTTACAGTGTAAAGGGATAGACAGAGATGCTTAAAAATTCCAGTACTTTTTTTTTAGTAGAGCAGCAAGTATTTTTCTGTGAAAGCTAGATACAGAGCATTTTTCTCTCCAACAGAGGGTTTTGGGAGAATCTTAATCTGTCAGGACCGGTCTTCCCTCTCAATTCTCCAATATTCCCACTCTACTTACTTTCTCCACTTAACTCCCAACACTAATCTCATATAGAATGTTGAGATGACTCTTTAAACAGCACCAGAAAGCCAAGTGATGATATTGTGAGAGAAAATTTTGGTCTTTGATTTTCCACCAGGGTTCTCTTTCATCCCCGAATGGGCACTCTTGCCATAGAAATAGTATGTAGAGTTTTAAACCCATGAAAGCCCTCTTCCCAGGATGAAGGCTCTATTTCTCCAAAGGAATTTTGTGAAATTTGATGAGTACTGATAATGTCTAGCCAGGGAAATCAACTGGTTGGGAGTCTGCCCACAGTACCTGGAGGAAGTTTTTTTCCTACTATTTAAGACCCTAGTGTTCCACTGAATCTACTATGTTGGCCGATGAAGTCCTTGAAGATAGAAAGGGTGTCAAGATCCCTGTAATTGCCTCCCATAAAAGATCACACTAGTCTACCCTTTCCTGCTCCATATGAAATAACAGCTCAACTAAGCTGTGACTGACAGCTCAACTAAGCTGTGACTGACAGCTCAACTAAGCTGTGACTGACAGCTCAGCTTTTTCTTCCTCAGACTACAACAATCTACAAGACTCAATCCAGGATAGTCTTCAGACATTGTTCAAGATGCGGGCTATCCACAAGTCAGGAGACTTATACAAAACAGCTTTGGAGTGGGTGACCATCATGCATAGCCTGAGTGAGCACAGGCCTGTAGATGGGTTGCTGGGTGGGACCTGAGCTGGGAGGGTTCCAGGGGATGGGAAAGAGAGGGACAGAAGGAGAGAATGAGGACCTCCTTCTGAGCTACTTCTTCTTTTTTCTTTTTTGCCAGTCCTTGGACTTGAACTCAGGGTCTAGGCACTGTCCCTAAGCTTCTTTTTGCTCAAGGCGAGCGTACTTCCACTTGAGCCACGGTGCCACTTCGAGCTTTTTCTGTGCATGTGGTACTGAGGAGTTGAACCCCAGGGCTTCATGCATGCAAGGCAAACACTCGACCACTCAGCTACATTCCCAGCCTGCTGTTTCTTTGTATAAAGTGACTAGATCTTTATTGACAGTGAAAGTAACAACTTCCCCTAATAAGGTCCCTGGGGTCTTTCGAGCAGAGAATTTCTATTGTGCTACTGGGGCAGACCCAAGAACTCAGGCTCCCTTGCAAAAGCAAGAACCTCAGTGTGTCAACTAGTATTGTTCCGGCTGCCCACACAGGTGCCCTGCTGGAGGTGTGGGTGACGTTCCAGCAGAAGTGGATTTTTCTGAATAAAGTTCTCCATGAGATGAAGATCCAGTTTCCTAATGCTGACCTGGTAGGAAGGGAGTTGCTCCAAGGTTGGACAAGGGCTCCTGAATCACAGGGTTCAGTGCAGGAGGGGAAAGCTGCCGCTTCCCTTCAGCCCTCACTTTTACCGTCTTCTTTGCCACAGCACGCTCGTTTCCAGGCCATAGATGATCAGTATCGGACCCTGATGCACATCTCCATAGCTGACCCCCTGGTGCTGTCACTCATACTGCCCAGTGCCAAGAGGAGCCCTTATTTCCAGGGTCAGCAGTTACAACAGCTGCTGCAATCAGGGTCGGTGGAGCTGGAAAGCATCATCATGGCTCTGCAGAGTGTGCTCTATGAGGTATGTGCTTGCTTCCCCCGCCTTTTCTTCCTCAGTAACAGCGAGCTGGTGGCCCTCCTGGCCACCCCTCTAGAACCGTATGAGGCCCAGCCATGGGTGCAGCGCTGCTTTCCTCATGTCTACACAGTAAGCTTCCAATCCCACCTAACGGATGAGAAAAATACTCAAGACCACGACCAGGAGTCAATCCCAAGTAGAAAGACTCGAGTGGAGACATTTGCTGTGCGAGGGGCAGGTGGAGAGGCGGTGAAGCTGCAGGAGTCCTTACCCCTGTATCCAGATATCCCCAAGTGGCTAGCCACTCTGGAGAAATACCTGCGCTCCACACTGGTGTCCCTGCTACAGGACTGTGTCACCGCTCGCCTGGCTTTGAGCTCATTCCTGGTCTTTAAGAAACTGCCTCAGCAAAGAAGGTTGCCCCTGCAGCAACATGTTCATCATTGGTTAGATTTAGCCCAGGATTTCCCATGGCAGTGTGTACTGGTAGCAGAGGAAGTGGTGTGGCGGGCTGAGATGGAGGAGGCTCTGCTTGAATCAGGGACCCTCGATGTGACTCCCATGCACATACACAAAGTCGAAGTCCTGGTGCAATTTATGAGAGTCCGGAGGAGCTCCCAGGGCAGAAAGACCTTCGTGCCCTCTGCCCGCCAGGCCAGCCTGCTCAGTGCCCTGCTGGTCATGGCAATAAGACACCGGGATATCGCCCAGCTGTTAGAGAAGCACCAGGTCAGTGACCTGAAGGACTTCCACTGGGCTCGTCAACTCAAGTATCACCTGGGTTCTCCTCACCTGATTCCCGAAAGGCCATTGCAGAATCTTAAGACAGTGGTATCAACTGAGTCCTCTCTGTCACCAGCTGCATGCTGGGTAGATGTGTTGGGCCGTTCCATCGTATACAATTATGAGTATATGGGTCCCAGAGTAGAGCCTCTACCCAGCCTGCTCCCTGAGCGCCCAGTGCTGAGTCTAATATTGGCCCTGGACCAGGTAGCCTGTGGGACACTACTGGGTTCTAATGGTGTAGGCAAGACAGAAATGGTAAACAGCTTGGCCCGGGCCCTGGGCCGCCAGCTGGTAATGATGCTCTGCTTGCCCCAGATAGAGGCCAGGTGTCTGAGCAGCTACCTGAATGGCGCCCTGCAGTGTGGTGCCTGGTTGCTTTTGGAGGCAGTCCATCACCTGCCTCCTGGCTTGCTCTCTGCCCTGGGCCAGCACCTGGCTGAACTGCAAAACCTCTATCGCCCTCTGTACCAACAGGCTTCCCGAAGCATGGGCACCATAAACCCTACTGAACCCCAGTTCCTTGGTAGTGGCCTCTTTGAGAAGCATCATGTGTCCATGCGCCTTGGCTATGGCTGTTTTCTGACCATGCGTGCCTTGAGCCCTGCTATACCCACCAACTTGCACCAGCTGCTGCGGCCCGTGGCATTGGCACTACCTGACCTTCAGCGAGTAGCAGAGCTGGCCCTGCTGGGTGCAGGAATGCGAGATGCTTCCCGCCTGGCTGCCCGCCTATCCAAATTCTTCTCCCTAGAGCAGGAGCTGGCATCTGGGCCCCTGCCCTGCCGCTTGCCCCTGCTCAAGCAGATCCTGGAAGATGCAATCCAGATGCTCAATGAGCCCAAGGAGGAATTGGAGTCCCAGGGTAGACTCACTTCTGTGGAGGAGACTGTCCTTCTGCGTGCCCTGCTGCACTCACCACTGTTCAGCATCCTTGACGAGCTCCACCTCCAAAACCTCCGCAAGCTGCTGTGTGGGGTCTTCCCAAATGCTAGCCACGTGCTGGCAGAGCCTATGGTCCACAGGTTGATGAAGTCATTAATGATGGAGGAACTGCGGCAGGTAAGCTTGCTTCCCAGCCTTGAAATTCTGGGGTCCCTGGAGCAGCTCAGCCAGGCCCTGAGCCGTTCCTCAGGCGTTCTGCTCCTGGGTCCTGCAGGCAGTGGCAAGACTACTTGCTGGCGCAGCTTATTTAAGATCCACAATCGGTTGGCAGCCATGGAAAGCACTTCCACCCAGGGCTACCAACCTGTGGAAATTACTCACCTCTATCCTAGCACGCTCAACTCCCAGGAGTTCCTAGGATGGCTAGAGGGACCCTGTTGGCACCATGGCATTTTCCCCAGGCTACTTCGTGCAACCCCTCGATGTAACAGTAAGGCAGCAAAAGAAGACAACCAAGAATGGATGGGAATCCAGCACTGGATCGTCTGTGATGGGGCCTCTAGTTCGGCGTGGCTGGACTCCATCACTTGCCTCCTGAGTAATCCTCCCCAGCTTAGCCTCCCCAATGGTCAGCAAATAGCACGACCACCAGGTACCTTCTTCTTGTTGGAGGTGGCAGATGCCACAGGTATGTCCCCCACAGTAGTCGGCCGGTGTGCCCTAGTCTGGTGTGGGGGGGGACAGACGTGGCAGTCTATGCTTAGCACTTTGATGACATCCCTGCCCCGTGACTACCGCTTGCAGCCTCCGACAATCACTGAGCTCAACCACATGGCTGAATTTCTGGTGCCTGCCACATTCCGATTTCTTGCCCGCAAAGGGACTGGCTCTCTGCTGCAGATTCATGGGCAGCAGACTCTTTGTCCAGGTGTAGCTGAAGTTACCAGCCTGGCCCGCATCTTGCGTGGTCTGCTTGACTCTCACCTGCGCCTCTATGAAGAAAAGAGTGTATATGGCTCAGGTAGGAAAACGGAAGAGCTGGCTTGTTGAGAGACATGGGGGCTGGAGGGGATTGGGGAATGTCTGGAGCCAGAAGCATGGGTTCTGTAGTGCATGGGAACTGCAGAGGAAGTGAGGTAATATGGTCAACCTCTCCTCTCCTCTCCATATTCCACTTTTGTGTGTATGCCGGGACCCCCATCTGGCCTTGGTGACTGCTGCAGAGGACCACAGTGATAGAGATCCTATGGCCAAAAGTATCCCATCTTCAAAAAGCAGCTCCCTGAAACAATACCATGTTGAAAGCAATGAGACGTCGAATAAGCACAGGGAACATCTGCTGGCTGTCAGCAGCTTTCTTTTTGCCCTGATCTGGGGCTTTGGAGCCCACCTTCCTTCCAGGTACCTACAGGGATGGGATTTTGGGTGATGCAGAGAGTGGGGGCTAACTTGCTCACAGGAGTTCAAACTCCAAGTTAACCTTGCTGTGCAGCTAGGGTATCACGTATGAGCATGTTATTGATGGTTCTGTAATAACTGCGTGGCTGTTACTGTGTGTCCATCTGAGCAGGCTTTGGCCCCTCTTTGATACCTTCATGAGGAGTTCTATTAGTTGCCTCACCAACTACCCTGAGCCACCACCCTCAGCTTCAGTGTTTGATCTACATGTAAACCCTGAAGATGGGACATTGGTCCCCTTCACTGGCCATTATCTGAGCAGCCGTGTCAAGGGAAATCTAGGATTCTTCCGCTCTTCTGACCAGGTATGAGGACAGTGGGGAAATAGCTGAGGTTGGGACTAAAGGGAGTAAGACCATGTTTAAGGCTGGACTGAGATCCATTTGCTCCCATTCTTTGATCACAAGAATACACAGCATATGATCTCTAAGAACAGCTTTGGGACAAGTGCCTTAGAAGTAGATTTTTATCTAGACAACTGTCCTATCCTGGAACTGTCTCAGTGAAAGCTCTATTCCTATTCCCCAGACCGAGCAGCTCTTATATATGGTAGATCTGCTTCTGTCCAAGGGGCAGCCCGTGCTGCTGGCTGGAGAGGCAGCCACAGGGAAGTCAGCCTTTGTGGAGGTCCTAGTGGTGCCAAACCACCCATGCATATCCAACTCCATCCATCCCGCCTTCGGTTCTGCCCATCTCCGCCAACTCCTGAGCAGGGGAGTCCAAGGCCAGTCACAAGCCACCCCCTGGCCTGAGAATCAACAGGATTCTAAAGACTCCCTCCTTTTCCTGTTGGAGGATCTGCACCTGGCCACTTCTGGTGAGGAGCTGGGTGGAGGGAAGGAATCTCATCACTTAGTAATCTCATCTCCTGAGGTTACAAAATCTACAGCAATATTGATTGTCAAATACATGTATACAGCTCACAGAACTACAGTTTTCCTTTCTTAGTATCGTCTCATTCTTATTCTGCCAGCGGTCCCATCCACCCACACTCATGTCCTCATCTGTTATCACTTTTTTTTTTTCTGGTAAATCTCTTTTCTCTATCCCACATTTAATTTCTAAGCACAGGTATTTTTACTCAACTATTTACTGCACATGTCTACAAAGCCATAATTTGATTCTTTGAAAAAGATAAAAATAAAAATGGACAAAGCCCTAGTAAGCTAATCAAGAAATAAAAAAAGAAAACCTAAATTTTTCCCCCCTTAAAAGAAAGAGATTTTAGTAAAGATATTTTTAAAAAGCATAAGAGAATATTGTGGAAATTTTTATGCTAATAAACCCAGTAATTTGGATGAAAAGGAAATCTGTCTTGCAAAATGCAATTTTTCCAAGTCAGACTAAAGAAAAAAATAGAACAGAAGCCGGGACCAGTGGTTCACACCTGTAATCCTAACTGCTCAGGAGGGTGAGATCTGAGGAGTGTGGTTGAAAGCCAGCCATGCAGGAAAGTCCGTGAGACTCTTATCTCCAATAAACTCCTCATAAAAATCCAGAAGTGGGGCTGTGGCTCAAGTGGTTGAGCACAAAGAGGCTTAGGGATAGTGCCCAGGTCCAAAGTTCAAGCCCTAGGACCAGGAAAAAACAAAAACAAAACAAAACAAAAAAACCACCAGAAATCACCTCCTATCTATTAAAATTTTGAACTAATAATAAATGCTCCCAGTTACAGATGGATTTCACAGTTCCATTATATCCACACACGCAGTATTAGCACAGTATTTTTGTGGTACTGGAAACCCCAGTGTGCGTATGGGCTCTCTGAGAGAAGTATTTGTACTTTCCCCCTAATTGTCATCTGACCCACTTTCTAACTACGTCAACTTCTAAATCTTACTACAGTATTCATTTTCTTTTGGTTAACAAAAAATTGATCTCAGAGGTAGGATTTAGGGAAGAATGTTAGGGAATGTATGGAGAGAGAATGACTTGCTCAGATGTCACTCAGTCCTAACACATCAGTAGCACAGACTTCCTCTGCAACTAGCAGGATGGGGCAGGACCAGAAGGAAAGGGGAGAGTCTCAGGTGGACTTGCACGCATCCTCTCTGTTCTTCGTGTCCCACAGACCCAGAGAAGAGCTGCCAGCCAGTTCTGGAGACGCTGCGCCAGGCCATGGACGGCACTGTGTATGCCCACAACACCTTGGAGCTGCAGACACTGCAGCCCACAGCCAACTTCCTTGCCACAGTTACAGTACCAGCGTGCAGCGAGCGCCCGCTCTGCCCACGCCTCTTTCGGCTCTTCACAGTGCTAGCCCTAGGCAGCATGACCCTGACCACCATGTTGGGCAGACACGCACCAAACATCCAAGCCTGGCTTGAGCGCTTTCCCTCTATGGAGCGGGAAGGTGCTCTGGCAAGAGCTCTGGTTCGAGCTTCCATGGAGGCTTGGGAGGCTGTGAGCAATCGCTTCATGCCTTCACCTCTCCACCCACACTACCATTTCTCCTTGCACTCTGTCAGCCAGCTTCTGGGAAGCCTACAGCTACTACCTACTAGAGTGAGCCCAGGGAGTCTTGTAGACTCTTACAGCCATCAGGAGCATCTGCGCAGAGTGTCAGGCTTACGTGGCACTCGCCTGTCTGTTATGATGGTCACACGCAACATGGTGCGTCTTTGGTTGCACGAGGCACATAGAACTTTTTGTGACCGTCTGGACAGCCACAGGGAACGCACCTGCTGTTCCAAGATACTCCTAAAAATAGCTCAGGGAGTCTTTTGCTGTGAGATGAAATCCCAGCACTTGAGAAGCGACCATACGGAAGAAGAAAAAGAGGAGAAAGAGGAGGACGAAGAGGAGGAGGAAAAGGAGGAGGAAGAGGAAGAGAAGGAAGAAGAGGAGAGGGTTCCCGAAGTGGAGTCTGAAGGGGAACTAGCCCAGTGGGAGGAGTTAAACAACAGCGACAGTGAAACAGATGACGAGGATCCTTACAGCCTTGAGGCCACCACAGGTGCACACCCTTCTGACCCAAGCCTCCTACCATCCAAAAAATTAACAGGAAAGGAAAGTATGGAAAGTAAAAGTCCCAAGACAAAGCAGGAGGCAGACACCAGAGCTTCTATCTATAAGCAGTCAAAGAAACAGAAGAGGTGGTGGAAAAAGATAAACCAGAAAGACTTGGTCTCACCCTTGTTGCTTCCAGTGCTGCTGCTCCGTCCCCGGGAAAATCCTTTAGACCTGGTCTTCAGTCAGAAATTGTTGGTATCCAACTCCGAAACTCCCAACTTGTACCTGGAACGGGAGTGGGAGAACCTGGAAGAGCAGCTGGCTGCGTCTGCTGCTCAGCTGAATCTGAACCCCCACCTCGCCCGCTGCCACACCTCAACCCAGCACGTGGCTCGTCTGGTCCGTGTGCTAGCCAGACCCCACCAGCATGGCTTACTGCTCTCAGGAGTTGTGGGTACCGGACGCCATACAGCCATCACTCTGGCTGCCAGCATTTGTCAGGCCCACCTCTTCTGCCTGCCGTCTGGGTCGGAGGAGGCCATTCTCCAGTGTCTACGAGACGCCAGCTGGCATGCCGGAATGTCAAACCAGCCAGTGGCACTGGTGGTACCCAAGAGTGCGAATATTACCACCCTTTATCGCCTGGTCGCCCTGGCCACCTCAGGCACTTTCCCTGACCAGTACACAGAGGCAGACCTGGATCACATTGAAGATCGGGTCCCCAGGGAGAACCTGGGTCTCAAATACAACACTAAGAAGGAAGTCGTGTTGCAGAGGTAAGGTCCTGAAACCCGTCCCCCAAGCCTTCTCTGCCATTACTCTGTCAAAAGGCCCAAATAAGTTATCTGAGTCACTGTGGAGGGCGAGGGCCAAAGGGGTTGGGGTCGGAAGTGGAAAGACGGAGAGAGCAGCAAGACAGCAGCAGGAGCCCTTTGCCTGCCCACAGGTTCTTCAAGCAAGTGAGTCGCCACCTGCACATGTTTTTCCTGATTGAAGATGACCAGATCCAAAAGCAGCTGCCCTCCACTCTTTTCCTGCAGCTTCTCCAACTGGCCACGGCCAGCATTGACCATTACGAGCCCTGGGACCAAGCTTCCCTGGTCAAGGTTGCTCAGTTCTACCTGGAGAGTGCTAATAGCCCACCCCCTGATGACAGTGAGCCATTGTCACTTGTTCTCACCAGGTTCTGGTCATTACTAGACCTGAATTTCCCTCCCTCCCTCCCTCTCTCCCTTCCCTCCCCCTTCCTCCCTTTTTCTTTTCTTCTCTCTCGTTGCACTCCCTTGAGATTTTTTTTCTGCCCTCCTTCACGAGCTAGAAAAAAAAGGCTCTTTTCATTCCCATTCCCCCCTGCAAGTCCACAAGTCCACATTAAAACCATGCTCCTTGCAGGCGCCTTGAAGTTCCTAGACCTCCAAGCCTCAATTCCCAGCGTGGCCAAAGCCATGGCTCTCATCCACCTTTCGACTGCCTACTACCATGAGCACCTGTGCCCTTCATTGCCACTGGTCACTCCCAATACCTTCCTAGACCTCCTGAACACCTTCATGCTACAGAAGCAAGAAATGACCCTGAAGATGAAGACTAGAGCCAACCGGTAAGTTGTCCCATTCCCTACAGCGTTCCTCCTCCTGTACCCCGGAGTCAATTCACTGTGTCATCGCTTTCCAGGATTCATACTGCCGTGGAGAATCTGAGAACATTAGTGGACCACCACAGCTTCCAGTCCAGCCTGGTCTCGAACTTGGAACAAGAGCTAAAAGGCTCCTATAAGGTAAGAGGGAGAAGATTGTAAGATGTTGTGAGACAGTTGTGTCAAAGCAGAAAGCACAAAAGGGGATTTAAGAGGCACCAACCAGAGTGAGCCTTAGTTCATATTTCTCGACAGTCTCCCTTTCCCCAGAGGAACTCTAATTCTTGCTGCCTCTTTCCTTAGATCTCAGGCTCATAAGTTTCCCACAGTACAACTGAGACCAGATTGACTGGGGTCCTGACTCTACAACACTGACTATAAGCAGTTTAGTATACTCTCAAGATCTTTGGATTTGCATGATGAATGAGGAAGAGAATTACATTTTTTTTTGTCAGTTGTGGGGCTTGAACTCTGGGCCTGGGCACTGTCCCTCAGCTCTTCAGCTCAAGGCTAGCACTCTACCACTTGTGCCACAGCACCACTTCCAGCCTTTTCTGTTTATATGGTGTGGAGGAATTGCAAGTGAGGCAAGCACTCTACCACTGAGTCACCTTTCCCAGCCTGAGAATTACATTTTTAGTATCACCTCTTTCTCTTAGTTCTTCCTTTGAAATCTCTATCCCTGCCAGTCGATTCACCTTTGGTAGCCACCTCCCCCTCCCCATATCATGTTGTCCTTATCAAATTTACAAGTCTGTTGTTTGCAGTAAGGAAATTGGATTAGAAATGGTGGTAGGTAGACATTTATACCTATACCAAAGAAACAACTGTATTTAAATAGTACACTAGACATAAATGTTCTCAGTTTCCTTAGTCGGTATTTCTCTCTCACTCCCTTCTCCCAATACCTGCTATCCCACTTTTCCATTAGAGCTCCTCTGATACAGTTCTCAGGAACAAGAGCGTTTCGTTGTTTCCTTTTGTTGTTGTTGTTGTTGGTTCCTGGGCTTGAACTCAGGGCCTAAGCATTGTTCCTAAGCTCTTTTGCTCAAGGTTAGCACTACCACTTTGGGCCACAGTGCCACTTAAGGTTTTCTGGTGGTAAACTGGAGATAAGCCTCTCATAAACTTTACTACCCAGGCTGGCTTCAAGCTGCAGTGCTTAGATCTCAGCCTCTTGGGAATAGCTAGGATTACATGTGTGAGCCACCAGTGCTCAGCTCTTCTAAATGTTTTATATGTAAGAGCTCATTTAGCCAGGCACTGGTGGCTCATGCCTGTAATCCTAGCTACTCAGGAAAGCTTGGATTTAAGGATCATGGTTCAAAGACAGCCCAGGCAGGAAAGTCCAGGAGACTCTTTTTAATATATTTTTATTGTAAAGATACTGTAAGAGGGGTTACAGTTACATGAGTAAGGTAATGAGTGCATTTCCTATAGAGCATTGTTACCCCCCTCCTTTGTTTTTCCCCTACCATTCCTTCCCTCCCACCTCCTCAACTCCTCCCTCCTCCCTCACAAAGTTGTAAAGTTCATTTTCAACATACTGTCTTGTACATCTATCCTTGTTTCAGCATTTTGTATTTCCCTTCCCCTCTCCAAGTTAGAAAAATGTATATTCAAGATGCAGGGCACTGGAATCAAATACTCTGGGAGACTCCTATCTCCAATTAACTACCAGAAAACCAGAAGTGACACTGTGGCTCAAAGTGTCAGAGTACCAGCTTTGAGCAAAAATGCTCAGGGACAGTGCCCAGGCCCCAAGTTCAAGTCCCATGAAAAAGAAGAAGGAGGAGGAGGAGGAGGAGGAGGAGGAAGAGGAGGAGGAAAAAAGAGGAAAGAAGAGGAAGAGGGAGAGGAAGAAAACATTTAGAAGTGCTGGAATTTAGTACAACCTCGATGTTCCGTTAGATCACCCCCTAACAAGACAGCATAAGGCCCTGGCTCTCCTCATGACTATAACTTACTAGAAAATATAGATTCATTTAGGCAATTTCAAAACAGTATGCTATAACAGAGAAAGTCCACAGGGCTTTAGAAAAACACATTGCCCCAATATATAGCATAACATGTGTAGAACATGGTAGGAGATCAAAAATATTTAAAAAAATGTACATGAATGAATGAAATACATCAGAGTTGGTGCTGCAGGTTCCGTACAATTAGACCAAGGGTAGAGTGAGGTGAGGAGGGAGAATATCCAAGGGTGAAGTAATAATGCATGTAAAGGCCCAGAGAAGGCAAAACTGAAAGTCATGTTCTAGGAGACAGAAAAAGATGGAGTGATTAGAAAGAAAAGTAGGGGCCTGGACAAGGAAGCATTGTCAACCATATGTAGAAATGACACAATGATGATTAGACCCCAGTTGTAGGAAACCAATCGAGTGCAGAATGGATTCAAGATCAGAAATAAGAGCAGCACTGGAGAAACTAGTTAGCAAGCCAGAACAGTGAAGGAGAGTGATCCTGGGTGTGAGCAGGAGGTGTTGGAGGGAGAAGTGTAGACATGAGAGACATGTTAGAGATAGAACTGAAAGCAAGATCTCAAAGACAAGCTGGGAACTGAGTCCACGCGTAGCAACCCAGCTTGCTTTCTTCCTTGGGAAACTTGACTGTGCGTTGCCAGTTTTCTGAGGAAAAGAGGTCAAGGAGAATAAATAGGAAGATTGCTGGGGAGCTAAGGAGGTATAACCAACATCCTTTTGGGGGCATAGAGTCTGAAGAGGTCTGCCAAGCATCCAAGTGGAGATTTCTACTGAGCAGATGGCAATATCGTATAGGACTTGTGAGGGAATATGCATTTTGAACATTTTTTTTCACATGTTAGTACAATGTACTATGTTTACAATATATCAGTAAAGGAAAGGTCTGAGAACAGCCAGAGAAGTTGGAGAGTGCCCAAAGGAACACAGTATCATGAAGACCAAGAGAGGAGCTTCCTTCCAAAGAAAGGGACAGTCTTCTGAGACAACTTCTGCTCAAGAGTCTTAAGTAAAATAAGGAGCAGAGCACAATGGCTACACACACATGCTTTGGAGTCAGAATACCCAGTCCTGACTCATCTGGGCCTGTGCTATGGGTGTCTAACCACTGACAGACCCCAGAGCTCAGGCTGTATCTGTTCAGCTTGGTTCCTCTATCAAGCCCATGGTGTCTCCCCTCCCCCCAACCCTGGCGTGTTCCCACACTGCCCAGAATGTGGTGTTGCAGGGCTTGGATCTCTGTTCACAGAATGTTGGGATGTACCAGCATCAGCTTGACCAGATCAAGCTCCAGTACAAGCGGCAGCTGGCAGAGTGTCGGCATCAGGAGAGCCTCGTTGAGAACCTAATCAAGCAGCGGGATGCCCTGAAGGCTCAGCACGATGCTTTCCTGGAACAGGTAGGCTCTTCCTGCCAACTGCCCTGCCCTGCTCCTCTCTGGGGGAAGAGGCTAGCCCCTCCTAGGATGCCACAAAAAGGGAAAGATGAGGCGGCTTCTGGTGGAGGTTCAGGTACTGAGATGGTTTGGGGATGGTCTCCCCGCGAGGACGCCTGAGATGAAACATACTGAAGCACGAGAAGACATTCTTAGGAGTGCTCTGCAGCACGCTTCTCTCCTTGTTTAGATGGGCAAAGCATTTCTGGGCCCTCTGAGCCAGCTGCAGGTGTCTGACTTTGAGGAGATCCGGAGCTATCGAGCACCGCCAGAACCTGTAGTCCGCGTGACAGATGCTCTGTGCGACTTATTCCACCGTGAAACAGGCTGGGCCAGTGCCAAGCAGCTCCTATGCCCCGAGGATTTTTATCAGGTAAGGAAGATGAGGCCTCAGGAAGAAGGCAGAGGAGAGGCATAAGGGGGAGACCTGGCAAGATGAGGTAAGAGCTGTTGGGTCAAGATCTAAAGCATTCGGCTCTTCTCTTCCTGTACGACCCATGTTCTCCAGGAGTTGGTGTTCTTCCCCAAGGAGAAGCTCACAGACTCAGAACTGGTCAAGTTACGACAAGCTCTGAGTGCTCCAGGTATGAGCGATGCCGCACTGCGGGCAGTGAGCAAGCCTGCAGCAAACCTGGCAATCTGGCTGTGGGCAGTTATGCACTATGGGATGGCACAGCGCCGGGGACTACCCACAAGCATGCTGCTGCGGCAGGTGGAGGAAACATTAATCCGAGAGCAGGCTCGCTTAGGCCGCTACCAGTTTCAGGCCCAGGAGTTGCTGGAGTATACCTTAGACCTGGCTAAGAAGCTGGAGGATGCCCAAGCATCTTACAGCCGTATGATGGAGAACCTCAATCAAGCACACTACGGACAACATCACGAATGGCCCATAAAGTCTGCACTGATCACCCCCATGCACACCTGGATTACACAACTCCAGGTACTCAACCCCTCCCAGTTCCTTCTGTTCCCTAAGGCCCCATGTTCTAACTGCTCCTTTCTCTTCTGCCCGCCCCCCTCCATATTCTCCTCCACTACCCTACCTTGTTCCTCTCCACACATGTACCCTCCGCCGGGTTCCCTAGCTGACCTCCACGCCTCCTGCTCTTTCCGACACATCAGAAACTGAGGGAGCACTGCATGAGTCTGTTTGGAGATGCCCTCCTGTGCTCAGCTGCCATCACCTACCTGGGTCCCTTCCCACCACTGAGGCGCCGGGAGCTGCTAGACAAGTGGCTGGCTCTGTGCAGGGGCTTCCCGGAGGCCCTGGGCCCAGATGATGTGGCCCAGGCACTGAAACAGAAACATGGCATCGTACCACCAAAGATGTCTCTGCTGGCCACACGCTCTCCCTTCAGGATTCTCTCTCTGCTGAGCAGCGAAGCTCAACAGTTCCAGTGGGACCGAGACCGGAAGCCCCATGCTAGGTCAGCCCGCTTGATAGGCCTGCTGCTTCGAAGCTTCACTCACTACTACAGCTACCGTTGGCCTCTGCTGCTTGACCCCAGCCAACAGGCCCTCATCTGGCTGGACCCACTGCCACGAGCAAAGAACATGTGCTTAGCCTCAGAATCCACCGAGAGGCTTGGTAAGCCAGGGGTAACATGTTATATCGGAGGCATCTGAATTGCCCAAGACTTTCAGCTTCTTGTGGTCCTCCCTTTCATAATAGAGACACTAAATTTCTGTGACTTAGGATCTCCCAAATTTTTACTGGGCTATACTACATTAACAAATTTGGTCATGTTTACTTTGTTAGTGATTTTTGACACGTTACCATGATTGTAGACTGGTTTCCCAGCCCATGATCTTCTCTTTCTTTGCTCTACTTAGCATTATTAGAAATCTGCTCAAAATCCAGAACCTTGCTGCCCAAATTTATCCAGTGTTTGAAATTCTTCTTATAAAAAATGTTATTATAAAGGTGATGTACAGAGGGGTTATAGTTACATAAGTCAGGTAATGAGTACATATCTTTTTGGACAATGTCACCCCTTCCCTCACTCTCTCCCAGTTTTCCCCTCCCCTACCTCACCCACAAGTTGTAGAGTTCTATTTCAACATAGTGTGTAGTGAGTATCACTGCTGCATTTGTTTACCCTGTGCTTCTCCATTTCGGTGCTTCCCTTTACACTCCCAAAGACAAATAAGTGAACATACAAGACAAAAGAAAACAAAAACAAAGAAAAAGTCTCTTGTTTCCATTTTCTGAGTTCATTTTGATAAATATGATTTTATATGATCAGAAGAACATAGGCCTTGCCCCATTGGTCTCACTGTGTGTGACTGTCTAGAGGCCTGTATAAGTTATCCTGTCCCATTGTATTTTAGATCTAGCTTCCTCATGAGAGAAAACATGTGCTATCATGTCCCTGAGCTTGGCTTACCTCACTTAACATGATTTGTTCTAGGCCCATCCATTTCCCTACAAATGATATAGTATTATTCTTTCTAATGGCTGTATCAAGTTCCATTTAGTATAGGACATTTTTTGGATCCACTCATCTATTTGGGCGCATCTGGGCTGTTTCCATAGCATGGCTATTGTAAATAGTGCAGCAAATGAACACGGATGTGCCAGTGTCTCTTGTCCTGGCTTGTGATATTCTGAGTATATGCTCAGGAGTGGTATGGCTGGGTCATAGGGAAGATCTATGTTTAGTTTTTTAAAGGAACCTCCAGGCTGCTGTCCAGAGTTGTTATGCTAGTTTACATTCCCACTAACAGTGCAATAGGATTCTCTTTTCCCCACATCCCCGCCAACATTCACAATGTTGACTAATCTAAGTGAGGTGAGATATTTTGATTCGCATCTCCTTTATGGGCCAGGGATGTTGAGCATTTTCTTGTATGTTTCTTTGCCATTCTCACCTCTTGTGAGAAGTCTCTCCTTAGCAACTTTGTCATGTTTGAAATTCTAAGGGAATATTTTTATTGACTCTCTTTGGACCAGAGGCCTGTCAGGGTGGCATGTTGGAAGGAACATTTCCTAGAAGGAAGATGGAGTGTTTATTTCCTGAAAGAAGGGGTTGTGAGGCTATAGAGATGAGAAAAAAATGTAACACGATTTTGGAAAAGGGCCTGTGATGATGGTAATGAAGTTTAATAAGACTTTGAAAGGGGATAATCTTACTTATATGTGTAGATTCAAAATCCCATGACTGGTATCTTAGAAAAGGAGGAGAAGGCAGATATATAAAAGAGAAGTCCATCTGAAGGGGGAGACAGAGGTTAGAGTTATGCAGCCACTAGCCAAGTAATACATACCTAGAACTATCTGATAATGGAAGAAGCAACAAAAGATGATCCCTTAGAAGGCTTTGGAGGAGCACAACTTTGCTGACACCTTGATTTCAGACTTGTGGCCTCCATAACTCTAAGGGAATAAAGTGTAAGGTAATTTGTTATGGAACCCCTAGAAATGAATCCATACATCATAATTACAAGATACCTACTACACAGATATCTGCTGGCCATCGATGTCCCTTTTGTTGGGAAAGTACAAGTTCTTCCAGAAGTCTGAATAGACTTTTTTTTTGGTCGGTTATGAGGCTTCAACTCAGGGCCTGGGTGCTGTTCCTGAGCCTCTTTGTGCTCAAGGCTAGCACTCTACCACTTGGATCACAGTACCACTTCTGGCTTTTGGGTGCTTAATTGGAGATAAGAGTCTCATGGAGACTTTCCTGTCTGGGCTGGCTTTGAATCATTATCCTCAGATCATAATCTCCTGAGTAGCTAGGATTACAGGCATGAACCACAAGCACCTGGCTCCTAGGCAGACTTCTGATCTCCATGACCTTTACTTTTTTCCCTCCTTTACCTTTTGTTTTTTAAATTCCTTTTCCAAGTGCTGAGCCTTGTACTTGCTAAGCAAACGTTCTTCTTCTGGTGTTAAAATCATGTATAGGATAAGAAAGTCCTTGTAGATTTAATTAAGATTACTAATAAATTGATCTTAAAATAGAGGTCTTATCCAGGATTATTTTGGGGGGGTCTTGTAATCAGATGAGCTCTTCTAAGCAGAAAGGAGGAAGAAAAATATTTGAAATTCAAGAATGATTCAACACAATGTTATTGGGTTTAAAACCTGGGTGCTGGTGGCTCACACCTGTCATCCTAGGCTGAGATTCTGAGGATCACGGTTCAAAGCCAGCCCAGGCAGGAGACTCTTATCTCCAATAAACCACCAGAAAACCGGAAGTGGCGCTGTGGCTCAAGTGGTAGAGTGCTAGCTTTGAGCTAAAGAGCTGAGGGACAGCGCCCAGGCCCAGAGTTCAAACCCCATGACTGACAAAAAACAACAACAAGGGCCTGGGAAGGTGGCTCAGTGGTAGAGCTCTTGCCTTGCATGCTCGAGGCCCTGGGTTCGATTCCTCAGCACCACATAAGCAATAGAAAAAGCTGGAAGTGGCACTGTGGCTCAAGTGGTAGAGCGCTAGCCTTGAGCTGAAGAGCTGAGGGACAGCGCCCAGGCCCAGAGTTCAAGCCCCACAACCGGACCAAAAAAAAAAAAACCAAAAAACAAAAACAAAAACAGAGAAGTCTATAGGGCAAGTATAAGAAGGAAATCAAAATTTACTGTTAAAAGCCAGTAAGAGCCAGACACACGGATGTGCATCTGTCATCCCAACTATTTAGGAGGCTGAAACATGAAGATAACTTGAGCCCCAGAGTTTGAAGATAGAAAGAACAACATAGTGAGATAACTATGTCAAAAACAAAGCAACAGGGGCTGGGAAGGTGGCTCAGTGGTAGAGTGCTTGCCTTGCATGCATGAGGCCCTGGGTTCGATTCCTCAGCAACACATAAGTAGAAAAAGCTGGAAGTGGCACTGTGGCTCAAGTGGTAGAGCGCTAGCCTTGAGCTAAAGAGCTGAGGGACTGCGCCCAGGCCCAGAGTCCAGGCCCTGCGACCAACAAAACACACATACACACACCAAACAGTAAATCTAAATGGAAGATATTAACACTGGGATGAGACTTCTATGCCTAGAGGTCACCTTGATTTTAGTTTAGTATAATATTGCTCCAGATGCTCCAGCCATGCTATGTTGGACTTGTAACACTACAGAACTATGAGATAATAAATGATACTGCTAAATCTGCAGTAATTTATTACCAATAAAAAGTGATGCACTATTTATCTCCAATAAACTACTCAAACAAGAAAAAAAAAAGTGATGCACTATCTGTGGTTCTGGCAACCTCCCTTTGTAAAAGAACGTAGGGGGGGGGGGAAATCCCTGGAAAAATCTTATCTAGTTCCTGCAGTAGAGGAGGCAAGGAGTCAATTGTGAATGGCTGCTATGGTGGTTGCCCACCAATGACTTGGTTGAGCCTTTCACTTATGTCACTGCCCCCCAGATACTAAGGTCCATATGAGTGAGGGCTCTTTTAGTTGTTACTACATTAGGTAAGAAGAGAAAGGCATTGGCTCTTCTAGTCAACCAACAGAAGGGGCAGAAATAGGGCCAGTTTCAGAGATGATTGACCTCCTCCCTAGAATTTTGGAGTCTGGGCACTTGTTTTGTGCCCGTCTAAGTGCTTTTTTGTTTGTTTGTTTGTTTTGGTTTGGTTTTTTGTTGGTCATGGGGCTTGAACTCTGAGCCTGGGCACTGTCCCTCAGCTCTTCAGCTCAAGGCTAACTCTCTACCACTTGATCTACAGCACCACTTCCGGTTTTCTAGTGGTTTATTGGAGATAATAGTCTCATGGACTTTCTTGCCTGGACTGGCTTTGGACCACGATCCTCAGATCTCAGACTCCTGAGTAGCTAGGATTACAGGCGTGAGTCACCAGTGCCCGGCTAAGTGCTTTTTATATACCATTGCAATTAATCTTCACACTAATCCCATGAGGGCCTCACTAATATCAAGCAGATTTTGCAGATGGGGAAATTAAATCATAGCACTTACATAGCTATTCTAAGGTATCTTTTTGAGGATCTGTCCTCATTGAAATGGAGTCCTTGGGTGAATGGCTCTCCCTAGGATTGCAGTTTCTCTACTTCATCTTTCTGGCCTAGGGAATTGCCTCCTGAGAGATCTAACTAGAGATGAAGAAGATACAGAAGATGACACTAGTGAAGAGGAAAATGAGCCCGAGAAGCAGACAGAAGAACAAAAGCAGGCGAAGAAAGAACAAGAGGAAAATGTGAAAGAGAAAGAGACTGAGACTCAGAGTCAGGGGTCAGATATCGCTTCTGAGGCTGGGCCTCTGCCTCCTGTCTGTCTATGTGTCCTCTCGGGTGCTGACCCAGAGTTGGGTCTTCAGCTCCGGAAGGCAGCTGCCAACGGTAAGAACTTGCCCTCACATACCATGCCCTCCCTTTTAGTCTTCCCCCAGTCCTGTGACCACACAGTCCTCCCACAGCTATCTGATCTCACTCAACTCCTATGCTTCATCTCACTATGTAGAAGGGTAGGAAACCTGCCCTGAATGGAGCCAGATCTTGTGAAAAGGGGTTGGATGATACAAGTGTTGGCACTTGCTTTCTCTCACAGGCCAGCCTGTGCTCCTAACCAACATGGAGCTGGGCCTAGGGTGCCAAGAACTCCAATGGCTGCTGCATCGGGAGCAGCTGAGCCCACCCGAGGTGCAGACTGGCTTCTGTCTCTATCTAAGTACTACCCTCACACTCGGTGCCTTGGAAAATGGTAAGACAGAGAGAGGTAAGTTGCTGATACAGCTTTGTGGACACCCTAAACTCCTAGGATCTGCCCTCAGAGGGCTTCACCTAGCCTAGAGCTGGCTCAGAACTGTAGTAGAGCCATACATACTTCTTGTCCTTCCCATCTCCCCATGCCATATCTCTGCCAAAAAGAAAAGATTAAACCTCTTTTGCCTGGCCCTCCAAGTGCTAGGTTGTGAACTGCTGAAGAGGATGAATGTGATGGATCTTGGCATGAACATGGATGTACTAGAAGAGCAGATGCTGCATGAAATCTTGTCTAGAGAGGCTCCCGAGCTTAAGAAACGCTGGCAGGAGCTACAGACCAGACACTTGGATACCTGTGAAGCTGTTAAAACTGATGAGGTGCTTGAGGGGCCCAGTTCTATGGGACAGGATGAGCTTTGGGAGGACCCTTGAAGTATGGAGGTGGAGATGAGTGGGGAGATGTATGGGGACTGTGAGAAAGGACCAGATCCATCTATTAAAATGACCATATGCACAGGAGCGGTTATTGACGGCCCTACTGTTACCGCATCCAATGCAACAGAAACCTGCCAAGTTTCTGCGGGACATGGTGAGAGTCCAGGCAAAGATATGTCAGCTGCGAGCCCAGATTGAGGAGCTAGAAGAGCAGAAGATGCAGGAAGTTGTACTATGGGTACCCTACCAGAATGTGGTCCGTCACGGGATAGCCATAGTAGAGGCCCTTAGCTCCCTACAGAACATGCTGCCACTTTTCCATATGAGCTCAGAGAACTGGCTGACAGCTACCAAGCGGGCTTTAAACAGTATGAAACCCCATGACAGCCAGCATGGGGAGGACTTGGCCAGTCATCTGCTGCAGCTGAAAATACGCTTGACTCGCCATCTACTGGGCAGCACCGTGGCTATATTGGGGCTGACCCAAGTACCCTTGGTGGGTGCCTTAGGTGCTCTGGCTCTGCTGAGTGTGAAAAACCAGGCCCCAAAGCTAGAGAAGCTGGCACTGTGGCCTGGATTGACGACCTCTTTGATCACAAGTCACAGCAAATCCGCGTCAGGTGCAGGCCGGCCAGCATGGCTAGGGCTGAAGGCCTGGCGAGAATGTGCAATATTAGAGCGGCTGCCTCCCTTTAACGGGCTGCGTGCATCCTTGACAGAACACCCTAAAATCTGGCAGGATTACCTGTCGCTGTCCTCTACAGTGCTGGGTCCTACACCTGAGCTTCAATCAGAGCCACTCAGCCTCTTTCAGAAGCTGATTCTGTGGAGGGTTCTCCGACCTGACTGCCTGGCAGCCGCCTTGGCAGACCTCACCACCAGCCTCCTGGGCCGCCCCCTGGATGAAAACCTGAGTGCACCTACCATACCCTTCGAACACAGCCAGGCCACCCAGCCCATACTCATCTTGCTGCCGCCGCCTGGTCACCCCACAGCCTTGGGGCATCCTCTGGCTGTCATTAAGAAACTAGCTGACGTCCACATTCAGGTTTGAACCTAGCCACTCAGCCACAGCTGAGCAGGCTCTTGGGGGCTGGTGTGAAGTTTGGGGGGGCCCCCCTCGCCTCTCAAGCATTCTTGTGGATCTTCCTGGATTATTCAAGCACATTTTGGATTATTGTGGCTCTTTTTAAAAACCATTTTGATTCCTCAGGGCCATCCAGTATCACTGTGAGTCACTGTGCCATCTTTCTTTTTGTCTCCAGAAGCAAGTGCAGGTGATAGCTCTTGGCTCCAAAGCCTGGGACCCACTCTCTGTTGTTGTCGGCAGTCTGTGCCAGGCTATGTTCATGGGGTACTGGTTGGTGCTGGATAACTGTCATCTGATGCCCCATTGGCCAAGAGAGCTGATGCAGCCCTTGCTGAGCTTACTGGATGGAGCTAAGGGTAGGTTAACTGTTTAGAGATGGCTTTCAGAATGAGGGCCTCTATATTTGAGCCTGAGCTTGAATACTCAGGCCTTATGACCAGTCTACTAGCCCCAGCCTAATCACTTCTCTACAGCCTTGTGTCAGAATGCTGTCAATCCAATCACAGTTCTATGCCTGGACTTGTGGATCTGCCCCTTATTTGAGGTCTGATCTGTGCTCCTTTTCTAACCCTAGTGATTTCAGACAGGGAATTGGAAGAATCTGTACCTCAACCCGAGAGCAGGACTACAGCCATTGTCCACAGAAATTTCCGTCTGTGGCTTATTGTGACCACAGAAGCAAGATCTTCCTTGCCAGGTGAGGAGCAGCACCCACAGGTTCTCACTTCAGAAGTAAGACAGCAACTGTGTAGAGCTGACTTGGAGCTTTGCTTCTTTTTCAGCTGTGCTGACTCAGCACTCCTTGCCTGTTTTCTGGGACCAATCCCTGGAGCTGAGCCACATCTTGGTCAACAATGTGGAATTAGCCCAGCAAGAATCCCTTGCTCAGCCCCCTACCCAGATAGTTCCTTTGCTCCTCCTACATGGCCTTCTGCTGCACCGGCAGCTGTATGGGATGAAAATGCAGGCACACAGGGGGCGCTGGTGAGAGATCCACCACCCATCATCCTGTTCAGTTAGCTCAGTTAGTCACTCACCAAACTGTCTTCCGCATGAAAAAAGAACTAATTCATCTTTGGTATCTCCAAAGTATAAGTGTAAGGGGAAGGAAATCCTTAGGACTTTGAGATCTCATTCTGAATTGAGTCTTAAAAGCTGAAGCAAACAGAAATATGGCCTTTCTGAGCAGGGGGAACTAAGCTGAGCTGAAGGGAGACTTCAATGTAGCTGAAGTAAGGCATGCTGAAGGTTGAAAAGGAGGGCCTTGAAGCCAGGCACCAGTGGCTCACATCTGTATTCCTAGCTACTCAGGAGGTAGAGATCTGAGGGTCATAGTTTGAAGCCAGCCCCAGAAGACAAATCTAAGAGACTATTTTTTTTTGTTGTTGTTGGTGGTCATGGGGCTCCAACTCAGGGCCTAGGCACTGTCCCTAAGCTTTTCATTCAAGGTTAGTGCTCTAGAACTTTGAGCCACAGCTACACTTCTGGTTTTCTTGTAGTTAATTGGAGATAAGAGTCTCCGGGACTTTCCTGCCCGGGCTGGCTTTGAACCATTATTTTCGGCCTCCTGAGTAGCTAGGATTACAGGCCACCAGCACCCACCATGGGTCTTATATCCAGTTAACTAGCAAAAAGGTCTAAGTGGAGCTGTGGCAAAGGGTGGGGCTGATGCTATTCTGAGACAGTGAGAAGCCACTGAAGGGTTTTCCTTAGGAGAGGACCTTGATCTTTCAGAAAGATGAGCCAGAGGAGGTGGCCCTGGAAGCAAGCACAACAGTTTTGCCTTTAAAAAATTTGTATTCCAGCCGAGTGCTGGAATCATACCTGTAATCCTAGCTACTCAGGAGGCTGAAATCTGAGGATCATGCTTCAAAGCCAACCTGGGCAGGAAAGTCTGTGAGACTCTTATCTCCAATAAACCACCAGAAAACCAGAAGTGGTGCTGTGGCTCAAGTGGTAGAGTTCTAGCCTTTTAAGAGCTGAGGGACAGTGCCCAGGCCTAGGGTTCAGGACCCATGACAAAAAAAAAATAAAAATAAAAAAGCACCAAAATAAGAAAGGTATTCCAGTAGCTTCCAAAGAAGAGATGATAAATGAGTGATAGAGGTTGGGGTGAGATTGAAGAGCAAACATGAGAGAGGGAAGAGGGAGTCGGGGGTGACTTTCCCAGTTCTGCTTTAGACAATGAGGTGGCTAATGACACTTCTCGCTGGAGGGAGAAGGGTGGTGATTTCAGATGGAAGTAAATGGAATTTGAGATGCCCAGTCCAATGCCTAGTGAGACCACATAACCCTGGAGCTCAGAAGAAAGGTTTGGGAAGGAGAAATGACTTGAATAGTCAATATATTGGTATTCTTTAAAATCGTGTGTGTTTCCTCTCCCCAGGAGTCAAATAACCCTGGCCCAAGTCCTTCAGACCCAGAGTCAGCTGTGGGCCAGTCTCAGCAATCCCAGCGTTGCCATGCAGGAGCTGGCGGGTAAGACATACATCTGGGACATGAAGTCACAGCTTTGGCTGGGCGGCGTAGCGGACACTGGAGGGGCTGGGACTGAGGGACTCTGGCCTCATCCTCAGCTTCCATTTTCTATGGGGGCCCGCTGGAAGACAAGGAGGACATGAAGGCTCAGATTAGCCTCACTCAAGCCTGCCTGGGCTCCAGCAACAGGAGTGGGGTCCAACCACACACACCTCAGTCTCTGCTGGCCAGTCTGATGCCTAGTCCAGGTAAGCTCCCGACAAATTATCTGTGTATGGGGCGGGGTGGTGTAATGTCACCTCTGCCCCCCATCCCCACCCAAAGTAGACACAGCAGTGCCAATGAGGGCCTATAAAGGGGTCATAGTCACAGGTTGGGGGTGGAAGTGATGGCATGCCACAACCAGAGGAAGACCTACTCCCTCAGCTCTGGGATGGGGGGGGGGGTGGACGTCGAATCTATGTTGTCCCTCAACCCTCGCCTCCCACTCCCAGATCTAGGGAAGCTGGATGCCATGGCCGAGTGCAAGGCGGAGGTACACCTGCTGCCCACCCCATCTGAGCCGGGGATCTGCGGCCTGAGTGAGGCCCCCCGAGACTGGCTGCTGCGATGCCGCAGTCGGGCACTGCTACGCGCCATGCGCCAGTGCGCAACCTCCTGGGTCCCTGCCGACGCGGGAGGCGCCCGGCGAGCCGAAAGGCGGCTGCGGGTACGCCTAGTGCAAGCCAAGGGGAGGCTGGAGGCCCTGCAGGAGCTGCTGACCCAGCACACATGCGGAGACCAGTCCGAGGCCTACAAGGTGGGGCCCACCAAGGAGCAGCCTCTGCGGGCCTTCCTGGAGCGCGAGGTGCTGGAACTCAGTCAGCTGGTAGTCTTGCTGCAGTGTGACCTTACCTGCCTGCTGCAGCAGCTCTCGGGGGAGCCCCCATGCGCCTCCCACCGCTGCGTGGAGGTGGCCCAAGCCCTCTGGGCCGGCCACTTTCCCCGGCCTTGGCGACGCCACGCACCAGCTGGGCCGCAGCCGCCCTGGCAATGGCTCCGGCAGCTGTCCAGCCGTGGGCAGCAGTTGATTCTCTACCTGGGCGACGGTGAGGACCGAGGTTTCCAGATCCCCCAGCGCATCTTTCACCTGTCAGCCTTTTGTCACCCGCGTCGCCTGCTGTTTGCCCTGCGCTGGGAGGCCATCCTGGCCGGCCCCAGTTTCCCGGGTAGTCAAGATTTAAGTTTCGGTGCTCTCCTGTACAGACGTCAGGAGCTGACCCATCTTCTGCACCTCCGGGTATCTTGATGTTGTCCCCCCACCCGTGCCCCCTACACACACCCTCTGCTTCCCACCAGCCTCTCAAGAATCCATTACATCCCATGTTGACCCTCAGTCACCCCCAGTCCCTTTTCTGATCTTGGATTCCTCCCTCCTTACCCCCACCCAGCTCCCTACTCAGTTCTGACCAGTTTCTGGTTCCCCCCAGGTGGAGAACGGCCCCAACCCCACTGTTCCTGAGCTGGGGTTGCTGCTGACGGGATTACAAGTCCTGCACGCCAAGTGGGACTTCTCGGAGGGGGCCTTGCTGGACACCAGCTCCACCCAGCCCAGCCCTCTGCCCCCGGTCAGCGTCAGGGCACAGGCCCCTGGCGCCAGTGAGCTGCCCGCCCCAGACGGCCTGCCTGTATACCCCTGTCCCGTATACATGGCAGGGCCCCTTGGCACCACCAAGCTGCACAGCAGCAACATCCTGATGTACCTGCCCCTACCCACCAAGCTCAGTCCCGACACCTGTGTCCTACGCAGAGTCCACGTGTGTAGCCCCCCTTTGCCCTGCCCTCTACCAAAATAAAAGCTAGCAGTGAGTCCAGAAATGAGTTCTGAGTTTGGGAAGGAGAGTGGAATATGCTCAGGAGGCAAAACAAGACACGAGGGGAGAGTACTGTGTGCACAACTGAGGAATGAGAGGTTGTGTTTATGCTGAGTTAGATGGGGGCATGAGCTGGGCACCTGGGGAGAGGACAGGTCCAGGACACCTTTGGAAGAGGGGCCTGGTGTTCCTCGTGGTTCCAAAAGATTAATCCGATGTGACAGTGGCTAACACATGTCTTCACCTATGATAGATTCTTGAGGGGATATGAAACACAAAACCTAAGCTCTTTGTTCTTATTCACTCTTCTTCTATACCAGGGATTCTTCCAGACACCGGTGAGGTGTAGGGCACATGGGCAGCAAAGAGGGCGCTGAGAGGGAGTTGAGTGGGCAGATCCCGATTTGTTTACCTTCAGCTCGCTCACAGAAGCTTAGGTGCATGATAGGGTGTGACCTTAACAGTGATTGGTTGATTCCTTTTCCTCCCCTGCCATGCCACCAGGCCTTTTTTTATTTTAAAAAGTGCTTGCTATGTGGTAATAAACGAGTTCCTGCTTGACTTGACTCGGGAACAGGCATGCAGCCGCACTTACCTTTCCTCGGACCCCATCTGTCTTTTGTGGGATGAACGAAGACCCGACACCTGGTGCCCAACGTGGGGCTCGAAAGGAAAATATAGCGGCCGAGGCTAAGTGGTCTCTCAGGGTAAGTGAAACCCTTAGTATGCATAATGCTATCTCACAGAAGGAGGAGGAGGAGGCAACATTAGGCCTAGAGGGAGTACAGGAGGACTTGAGAAGTGAGAAGGAAAAGGAATGGGTCAAATTCGACCGAGAACGCACTGAAACATGCACAGTGGAAGTCAAAACAAGGGTGAGGTTACCCCCTCTGACTCAGGTGCCCCTGACAGTCCCATGCCCCCACCCTATCCCCCTGATTGGAGGGGGGGGTATGGCGCCCTATGCAACCTTCAAAAGGGACCTGCGGGACCCGGACCCCTACCGACCTTCCAAGGAGGGGCCGAGGGCTGGGGAAGTAACCTACTTGGAGGGCTACCCTGGAAGGGAAGGGCCACCTGGGAGCCCAGACTCTAGGCCACAGGATTCGCTTCCCCAAGCATATCTGGTCAATCTGGCACCAGGAGCTAACAGGCCCTTGGAGTGGTATCCATGGGAAGCTAAGGATCTTAAAGAGCACCGCAAGGCAGTGGCGGAGGATGGCCCAAACTCTCCCCGGGCCCAGACCTTATTACAAGACATTGCCTATCACCCGTGTGTCCCTAAGGACTGGCTGGATGTGGCCAAAGCCATCCTCACCAGTTCTCAGTTTATTAAATGGTGTGCTTTCTTTAAGGAGGAATGCAGAGTGCGAGCAGAGAATAACCGGCAGGCTCAACCCGCGATACCTATTACTTATGCCATGTTAGCAGGGACGGGGGAAGGGTACTCCACTGGCATCCAACAGGCTGCCATACCTGGCCTATACCGTGACCAGGTGAGGCAGGCAGGACTTGCCGCGTGGTACAAACTGGATGATGGGCCTACTGAGTCCCCCATAGCAGGAGTGAGGCAAAACCGGGTGAGCCTCTAGCTGAGTTTGTAGACTGACCAACAGAGTATTAACTGCCAGCTGCCGGCAGGGGACCACCGAGATCAGTTTGTAAAGCTACTGGTCTGGGAAGGGATGAATGCAGACCACCACACGGCCTTGCCCTTGCATGGGATTGAGAGAGTTCCCTGAGCAGATGGGTGGTGGCCTTGCAGGATGTGGGAGCACAACAGCACCAGTCCCAATCACTAGCTTTAGCTTTACAGGCTCAGACATCTGCACTGACTAAGGCTATTACCCAGGCGCTGGCAGCCCAGGGCCAAGGATCCCCAAGACCATCGGGGAGAGGGACTTATTTTAAATGCGGGCAGGAGGGGCACTTTAAGAGGGACTGTTCACAACAATCCCTCCTCCCCTCCCCTCCCCCGTCAATGGGGGGGGGGTCCAAACTGCCCCCTACACCCTGCCTCAGGTGCAGGATTCCTGACGCCCTCCATATTTTTACTGACAGGTAAAGCAGACTCTGTGTAAGCAGCCTTTGAGGAACAACAAAAGACCCCAAGCCAACAAAGATTTCAACTTTGTCAAGGGTCAGCACAATATAAAGAAATGCAGGCCATAATTATGGCTCTTTGGGACATTCAAAAACCCTTTAATTTGTATTCTGATAGCCTATATATGATTAACTTGCTCCCTCAAATTCCCCAGGCACATATTAAGCTGGATGGAAACCCTATTTCCCCCTTGTGGTTACCCTTAAGGGCCTATTAGAAGGGCAGGGAGCCCCTATTCATATTCAACATTTGAGAGGGTATTCAAAACTTCCTGGGTTTTTATCCGTAGGTAATAATTGGGCGGACCAGTTAGTTACTGGCCCACAAGCATTAACGTTACAAGAGGCCACCTGTTTGCATGATTTAACCCACATTAATTGGAGAGGTCTTCAACATAGATTTCCTCAGATTCCTGTAAAGGACCTCAAAAGGATAGTACATCCCTGTAACACATGCCAGCCCTTCTTAGGTGTACCTGTTACAACCACCAGGGGTAAATCCCAGAGGCCTTAAACCTAACATCCTCTGGCAAATGGATGTTACTCATTTCCTAGCCTTTGTTAAGTTCAAATATATCTTTGTCTCTATAGATACCTACTCAGGAGCATGCTGGGCCACAGCACATACAGAAGAAAGAACTAAACATTTAGAAGCACATTTTCTTCAATGCTTTGTCACCTTGGGTCTACCAGCACAAGTTAAAACCAATAATGGACCCTGTTTTCTTAGTAAAGCAATGTCAGAGTTTTTTGACAAATGGCATATTAATCATACTACAGGAAATACCTATAATCCCCAAGGCCAAGCAATTTTAGGAAATCACCAATGTCTTGAGCAATTATTAAAACAAAAAGGGGGAGTTAGCCACCATATACAGTTACAGATAGCTTTGTTTACCATTAACATTTTAAATTTTTCAAAAGGGGCAACTGAATCCAGATTTCACAAGCACTGGGGACAGCTAAACCCTAAGCCCCAAGTGAAAGTCAGATGGAAGGACCCCTGACACAACAATGGAGAGGGCCTGACCCCCTAGTTACTATGGGAAGGGGATTTGGATGCGTTTTTCCCAAAGGGGATTCAGCCTCATTTGGATCCCTGCCAGGAACCTTAAGTATTTACCAATTTCCTCTATACAGAAGGATGTCCAAGGATAAACTAACCAACAAGGAAAGAAAAACAGCTATGGTGTTTAGCTAATTATTTTAATGTCACCTGCTCTAATTGTTCTTTTACTAATTGCTTGTATTGCAGCATTACTGAATCCCTATGCTTCCTGTAAACATGTCTAAAACTTGGTATTTTGGCCTTTATTTCGTTAGCTGTCTCCGCAGTGGCAGCTGCTATGGCACTAACACAGAATGTTAAACATAGTAACTTGTCTTTAGATCCTTTTCAACCCCACAGGCAAATAGCCGGATTAGAACAAGCCCCACCTCTGGCCTCTAAAGTGGCAAAGACTGCTATCCCATCCCTGGCTCATGTTAAAGGACTGCTAATGACATTGCTTGGCCTTGGCAATGCTTTTGCTGATGGTTTTTCTATGCCTTCCTTGCATTATACGTGCACTGCAAAACTTTTATGAGTTTAGCCAGCCAATTACATAAGATCAAGCTCCAAGTGAATGGATTTCCCCCGAGAGGAACCGCAGCCAGAGACGGGTAAGAGGGGGTGCCAGTCTGACCAACCTAAGACAGGGCCTTCATCTCCGCTCTGAAGAAGTTCCCGATGATGGGTAAGGCAGACAAGGTGATCCACCCAACCGAAGACAGGCGGGTTTGCTTCTTTAAACAAAGACGCGGTGTTGGGAGCCAACAGTAAAGCTCAAAGGTCATCTTGACCCCTGTGCTCGCTTGAAGGCACGGTTAAGAAACTGGCTTACTTGAAAAGACACCAGGTGCCCGGGATTGCTTTGCTATGTCTGCACAGTTTATTTTACTTTCAACTAGTTGACCTTGTCTTGTTTTTACTGCACTCTGTTTCCACTAATCGAACTGCTTTGGACATTTCTAACTGTGGTGGGCTGATGTTTATTTTTGTGCTAGGTGGGGATGTGAGGTAACTGGGACGGGCTCTTGGTTCATGCACCAGGGCCCTCCCTATCCTAGTCTGGCAAATCTCGACCCCCCAGACTTGCCTCAAACCCCCTGCATGGCCAATGCTATTCTTACCAATGTAATCCTGTTAAAATAACCTTTACAGAGGAGGGGAAAAGGATAACTAACTGGGAAGCCGGTCTGCCATTAAAACAAAAAGGGGGAATCTGCAGAGCACATGGGCGGCAAAGATGGCGCTGAGAGGGAGTTGACTGGGCAGAGACCGATTTGTTTATGTCTAGTGCGTAATCAGCCCGTGGAAGCTTAGGTGCATGATAGGGTGTGACCTTGACAGTGATTGGTTCCTTTTCCTCCCCATGCCACCGGTCTCTTTTGCTTTAAAAAGTGCTTGCTGTGTGGTAATAAATGAGTTCCTGCTTGACTTGACTCACAGCTGCTTCTGATTGTCTCCCGGGCTGAGGGAGGCTGGGGAATGGGCAAGTGGCGCACTTACCTTTCCTTGGACCCCCTCCTCTTTCGTGGGATGGACAAAGACCCAACAGTGAGGATGTTGTAGGAAAGCAATCATAAAAGGTGCCTCATACCTGTAATCCTAGCTACTCAGAAGGCTGAGATCTGAGGATTGTAGTGTAAAGCTAGTCTGGACAGTCAAATCTGAAACTCTTAATCTCCAATTAACCAGCAAAGAGCCAGAAGTAGATGTGTGGCTCAAGTGGTAGAACACCAGCCTTGAAAGGAAAAAGCTAAGGCAAAGTTTGAGGTCCTGAGTTCAAGAACAGTACTGGAAAAACCAAGTTAAAATAGCAAACAATAAACTGGGT